TATATATATATATATATATATATATATAGAGAGAGAGAGAGAGAGAGAGAGAGAGAGAGAGAGGCGATTTAAAAAAAAACGATTTTTGGGTTGCAATGATGGATCATTACATAAACATATATTGATCTCATAAAATCGATCCACCACCACCAAACCGATGATATATTCTCCAGAGGTTGTGGGTTGTAGGTTCGATTCTTGCTGCAAAATAATTGGAGATGTTTGAGCGATGGTGCATATCTATGGCGACGTTCAGTGGTGATACCAAAGACGGTGGAGGATAACCCTTTGAATGGTGGTGATGGTGATGGTGACAGTGACCGTGGTTGTTCTTGTTCCATGATTTACAAATTTGGATTTTTAGAAGGGGTGGGTGATGGTCTCCGAACGAAGATGATGTAGTTAGGTGATGGTTGCTGGAGGAAGATGACGTCGGAGGTAGTGGTCGTCAAAGAAAGATGATGTTGATGGTTCTTCAGGTTTAGAGATAAGACAAGGAAGTGGGAGGTGCAGAGAGAGATACCATGTGTTCTAAGATTTAGAAGTGAAGGGGATTGATGGGGAGAGGTGCGGGTAGAGGGTGAGGGGGTGGTGGGAGTGGGGGCCATTTCCTTCTAAAGCAATAAATAACAATAAATAATAGTATATTAATAGAAAATAAATACATAAGCTTATTATGGTCATCTAAGAACTAGCACAGACTAAAACTGCAACAAATACATTTTTCAGAGATGAAGCGTGCAAATTTAAAATAAATTGAATTGTTCTACAAGTTAAGGAAATACTTTCTACTTTGAATCAATCCCAAATGTAGTAGTACAAGAGATTTGACTTCATGCTCTCGAAAGGTTTTAAAATATATAGTTTTGATATTTGTGTCTACTTGAAAGATGTTAAAGGTTCAACCATACATTTACTCATTTATGTCAATGATATGTTAATTGTGCAGTTGATAAGATGGCGATTCAAAAGTTAAAAGGATAGTTGTATAGTGAATATGAGATGAAAGATGTGCAAAAACAATTGGCATGAAGATTTCTAGAAAGACACCATTTGGAAAACTACACCCAAGTCTTGGTGGGTATATTGATAAGGTAATTTTTCGTTTTAACACGCATGATATCAAACAGGTTAGTACCCATTAACTACACACTTCAAATTATCATCAACTTTATGCCTACATACAAATAAATAATGATATTGATTACATCTCTAAAGTCCCATATTCTAATTCAAATGGTTGACTTAAGCATGACATGGTTTGCTTACGTCATGATTTATCTAATGCATTAAGTGTTGTTAGTCAATTCATGACAAACCTTTGTAAAAAGCACTAGAAGGTAGTTCAATGGATTTTCAAATTCCTTTGTGGTATATCAGTGTTTGCCTAGAATTTGGAAAATCGAAAAATAGGTTGGTTGGATTTATGGATTCAGATTATGTTGGTGATTTAGACAAAAGATTATGGCATACAAAGAAACTACTTGGTTGAGAGGATTATTGTTGAGCTCTATGAAGATGTATCTTGCACTACCATATTTGTATTCGTCACAATGTTATGTCTTACCAAGAATCCTATGTCCCAAGAGAGAACAAAGCACATTCACATGAGACATCATTATATTAGAGGCATGATTACTAAAGGTGACATCAAGGTATGCAATACAAACACTAATGACATCCTCTCTTGATACGATGACAAAGCCATTTCTATTTTAAGGTTTGAACTTCCCTCAAAATTGGTGGGTATTAAAGTGTAGTCCTTAGTGACTACGACATACAACATGTATTTGAGTTTATTAAAGAAATTGAAGTTGTTTTTCTTTCAAATATGAAATTCATCTCAAGGTAGAGTTGTGGATTCATGATTTGAAATCTCCCCTTGAAGTTCTATGATTGTTTCCTTTTTTTCACCTTCATAGGATATGAAAAATTATATTGGATTCAGTAGTTTTGTAAAGTCGCCATAAGATTTGGAGTCTAGTTAAATTCTCCAAAGATAGACCATTAATTTACCATCAAATTATCACACAAATTAACCCCAACATCGTGATTAGAGGGTGTTTGGAATTGCTTATTTAAGGTGTTTATATGTTTGTTGCGGTTTGGCACCGCCAATAAGCAATTTTTCGTGTTTGGATAGACAAAAATTAAAAGTGTTTATTTACTCAAATAAGGAGTTTTTGATAAGTTAGTAGGTTCTAACTTATCTAAAACAACTTATGACTTATTTAAACCAATTTACCATATTAACCTTATATTAAATATATGTCTATATATATGGTCATTATTGGTCATTTTACATCTATAAGCAGAAATTACCAAACATTAAAAAACACTTCATCAACTTATTACGTTTTGATACCGGATAAGCTAATCCAAACATTTTTTATAAAACTCCGTTTTGACATCGAAAAAACTAATAAACACTTTTACAAATAAACACAAGTTATTTTAAATAAGCAATCCCAAACACCTCCTTAGTCTCCACTCCCATCGATTATTATTAATATATCATCAAGTGTTTTGTGGTTTTCTCGAAAGGGTTTCCACCTAAAATCGATTGTGTTCTATTCTATTTATATACTTTTACTTCTTTTCTAGCCTAATCGACTTACAACAATGTATTTATATAATAATGTGCTCAAACAGACTCTTTATGTTAAGATGAATTTTCATTGGTTAAGAATTAAATATTTTTTTATAATGAAACAAAATAAAAAATATGATTATTATTTAATGAAATCAAAAGGGACAAGAAAAGACTTTGAAGAAAGTAATTTATTTTTGATTAAATCTCATGAATTTTTTTGGAAAACTAGTATGAAACAAGTGTTCAACTTAATTACTATTTAATGATACTTTTATTGTAGATATTTGTTTGGTTAAATAAAAATAGACCTATTTTCATCATTTGTGCGATTATGTTGTCGCAAAAAATGATTGTCCCGTGAGTAAACTCTCAGTTGTTAAAAGATAAAAACTGAGTCAAATCAAGGTGTTACGGAGCAAAGACACTAGCAAAACCCTACCACCTTCGTTTGCAGAAGATATAACAATTTATGCGAATTTGTCTTAATTTGATTAAGTATTTACACAAATATTTAAATCACACGGTTTCGATAAGAGCGGTACTATAGTATGTAAAGGCTACAAGAAATAAGACACCATGACCATATCGGTAGCTATATTTTTTTAGTATTCAGAATTTGTCTTAATTTGATATAGTATTTACACAAATATTTAAATCACACTGTTTCGATGAGAGCAATACTATAGTATGTCGAAAGGCTACAAGACATAAGACACCATGAAACATTATAGCTTCTCATATTCTCTCTAAATGTTCAATATCTCTAACCATCTTATTTGCTATCAGTATGGATGCTGGCTCTTCCTCGTCCTTAGAGTTGCCATGAAACATTCTAGCTTCTCATATTCTCTCTAAAATTTTAATATCTCTAACCATCTTCCTCGTTAGTTTACAATTTTTGAGATTCACTCAACAACCCAAAACTTTGATGAGTCATTGGTAATCGGGCGTTAGGGGTTTTGGCATGGTGTACAAAGGAACTATCACTAATGGGGCAACTCATTTGGTTACTGCTATAAAGCGCCTGGATTCAACCTCTAATGTAACACCGGGTTCCTGGTACGTATTTAAATTATAAATTTATTCATCTTTATGTAGAAACTCGACGAGTTGGAGGCCCCAAACTCGTCGAGTAGGGAATGGATTTGGACGCAGGTTTTGAAGTCTACTCGACGAGTTGGAAGCCTCAACACGACGAGTAGGACTGGAAGAATGAAACCCTAATTTCGAGGTTTTGCTCCCTATTTAAACATCTTAATCCCCTCATGTCAGCCTCATTTACAGCCTCCAAGTCCCCTACCATAAATCTCGAAACCCTAATGCTTTGTGTGAGTTTGTGAGCCATCCTTGAGAGATTTTTGTGTGTTTGAAGCTTATGGAAGAAGAAGAAGCTTGGGGATTCCAGAAGAAGCTAGTAGATCCAGAGCCACCACTTCATTCTCATTATTTTCTGGTAAGCAAGTCTCAAACTTGCTTAGTGAATTCTTAGATCTCCTTATTATCACTTTATTGAGTTTATGGTCCAAGAAGCATGATCCTTGGGAAATGAACGTCCCAAGTGATTATACCTTCAGATCTAGAATCATGGAGGGCTTTCATGGCATAAAGGTGCAAACTTTATGGCCATTGAAGCCCCATGCAAGCTTTAGGATGTCATTTTGGCCTTTTAAGCTCCAAAAGGCCATGCATGGAAGGAAAGTTGGGAGCTTTATGTATTTTTGAAGTATCTAGGGTCCATATCTCAGTGTATATGCCTTAGTTGGAGTATTGATGGCTTGTGGATCAAGATTCAGGTCCTAAAGAGTTAGGTTTTGAGCTAGATCCATTAAGTAAGGGTATTAACGGGTAAAGTTGGAAACTTTACCCTTAAAAGGACAATTTCAGTGTATAGATGGAGTATGGAACTTAGATATGAAGAATAGATGCTTAATCCATTTAGATGAAGCAACAGACTGAAGAACTCGGCGAGTTCATGGACGAACTCGACGAGTTGGTTCGATTTGTTCCGTTTTTGTAAAGGACAGAACTCAGCAAGTTTGGGGGAGGACTCGACGAGTTGACTCATTTTATCCCGTTTGAGAGTAGCATGGAAACTCGACGAGTCAAGAGGATGACT